AGTGGCACAAAATGCAAATGTAAAGTTTTTGTAATGCTGAGTGCCAAAATCCCAATAAACTGGAGGCTATTTTATGTACCTGATGTTCAACATCCTGAACTCCAAAGGTGTCATCGGTGCCGTTCAACTTGTCGCGAAGTCGTGCAATAGCAGTTTCTGAGACAAACGATGGACGTTCTCCTCCGCTTGATTCAACTTCTTCGAAATTAGAAATCGTTTCTCGCAGCAACACTGACGCTAGACCAAGGATTACCTGAATCCATTACCAGTCAGTTTCTACAGCACAGCGTTTTCTTTCCATTGTATATACTCTTGTTCACTGCGGATAATGGGACGTAGTCAAGGAGGAATGAGGTTTGACGCGACGCCAGCACGTTTTTTTCTCTTTTCCTTTCCTTCCGGCAGGCGACAAGACTGTATCGTACCGTTCGTATCAGTCATTTTTGACCGATTGTGGTCGTTTACCCGACTCAACAACAGGTGGAAAACGGGTTGGCGTCGCGCCAAATCCAGCCTCGCTGACACGCCTCCGCAGTGGACAGGACTGATCTAAAAACTGAAACGTACATGCTTGCTTTCCCGAAGCAACCGCATTGCTCGGACCGCATCTTCTCCAAGTCGTCCCGTCTGTTCCTTCGATCAGGATCGGATCCAAAAGATCTCTCGTGAGGCGGAACGGGACCCGTTCAGGGATTGGTAGGGTTCTTTTACTGTACTCCAGAATCATACCTACAACATAAACCTGAATTTCTATTACAACTGAGTAAAGTGGGTGCTTCTTATAGAAATCATCGATCACTTCAGAATTATTGTTCAACTTAGTGCGGGGAGTATGTGACAAGAAAATCGCCATCCGCCGCGCTTATGGTCGTCGCGTGCGACGTCGCGCTCGTAAACGACGGTCGTAGATGGCGACAATAGACAGTGTATAACCAAAAATAGCCACAAATGTCTACGAAGTCACAGTTTACATAAAATCAGGCGATTCAATCGAACTCAAAGCGACTAAGAAAACGCCGCGTTCATTGTCGCGCGCGGACGGGAGCGGCAAAAAATTTGTTGCTATTGATCGTCTTCGTGCCCAAACAAAATTTTCTACCTAAATCGATGTGGCACCAACTTGCACTGTGTTCAGTTTTCAACAGACGTTGCTTAAGGTTGAACTGATCACAAGGCCTTACGACATAGGTAACTTTAAACAATAAGGCTCATGTTAATGCGATTCTTGTGTTAGACATTACGGACATTTACACATTATTCTCTCTTGCTGGGATTCAAACAAAACTACCATTATCAACTTGATTAGACCCTAACATAGCCACCAGGTCAATATTAATGCTCAAATTGAAGCTTCAACGGCAACCAAGTGGTGCTTTGGGGTAGGCAGCATTTGTTCTTTTACGAGTTCGCACGAAAATTTTCCAGAGTTTACTTCTTTCGACCTTAACTTCGTTGAACGGAACTGTTGACTGGTAATGGAAGCATGCTGCAAAAAGAAGTTCAGGGGAGAAGCAAATACAAGTCTTTCCTTCGCAAAACCAATCAAGTTTTCAATTTGACAGTTGCTGAGCTTGAGTTTCCTCTAAGGTTACAGTCCACGCTAATCGTTATGAGGGCGGGTACAGCCTGACTTGTGCCGCTCCTCTGGGACGCCTCTCTTTACGTCTCATTGATAAAACCTGTGCCACAATTGATGTTAGATTGTTTCTGCTTACACATTCAGGGTGGGCTGTACCTTAAAAAGGTCGAATGGCGTCTACAACATGGCTCTGTCCACTACCTTAGCCAGGAGTACTTCTGGCAGAATAAGATCTGTCACTGCATTAGTATTGCAAAATAGCACCCAAGTTCTTATCTGCTGGGTAGGAAGCTCGTCGGAGTCGTATGCTAATCAAGTTGACAACAACCCGTCGCCTAGAACCAACCTATACTCCATTGAGCCAGACTCCGCCTATAATTGTCAATCATATGAGCCCACGATTGAACCGTGCTGTGCTGCCCATAGAAAAAGTGCCTGCAAACAGCTGATAAGGATCGCAACATACTATTGGAGTATGAGGAGACTTTTAAGCATGTAAGTTATCCGGCGGGCCGCTGCTGTTTGGTTTATGGGAGGGGCACTTTTCACTTTGCTAATTCCTTCTGCTAGTTCATGTGAATTAATGGGTTGCATTTTGGAAAGATCAGTAAACCTCTGTGAAGCTGCGAAATGAGCCGTTTTGGCTGCAGGTATTCCCTACACACCTGCACCCACCAAACCGAACTGCTCCGAATATCCGAAAAAATACCGTTGGAGAGAATCACCTGAAGACCGGCTTAAAAACAGCGCAAGCTCCTCGGAACATCTTCGATGCTTCGCTCACTTGCGTCTTTGCGGCGTCCTTCAACATGGTTCGGACTTGGAGTGCTTTTTTATCAAAAGGCTCTTCTTTTAGATGCAGCCCGTGACTAAGATCGCTCCCGCAACAAGTTCTTCTGAAGAAATTAACGAATTTCTTACATTTTTGACAGACATTTGGCCACTTCAAAAATTTAAATCTTCATACTGAGCGATACTGTTCCTTGGCAGAATTCTATTATACCACATTTGCTATCCAAAGGCACCACCTGAAATAAACCAATGAGGTTCTGTCTAGCATCATTCTGACTAGGCCGAACCAAGATGATCAACAGTTCTTGGTTCGGCTACAGTAATATCCTAGACAGAAGCTCACAATATGCCAAGATTCATGGAGGGTCGAACGTGGATGCTTATAACCCAGAGACTTTTAAGTTAGGTACAAGTCCATGTTGATTGTATTGGGCGGAGTACACCCCAATTCACATGAGACCTTGTTGACTCCGCCAATCCCTCCTCTTCACTTTATTTTGAAGTAAGAAGTTTGACAGTCAATAGGTTTCTCCGCCTATACGATGAACGATGTTTTGTCATTGGATCTACGACTCCAAAAAAATAGGAGCTGCTCGGGTTGGAGGCATTTTGCACTCTATTAGATCCCCTGCTAGCTGTGTTGATTTACATGACACTCCACGGCGATACCTGTGGACCTCAAGTATAAACGAGGCTCTTGCTACCGCATAGCTTCGCAGGAATTAACAGGATCCACAGCAGAGGCGTCAGCAGTGATTGACCAGGATCCCAAAATGCCCCGCCAAGCCGAACTGCGCCAAAAAAATACTTCGTAAGGAATTTGAGCCTGCGATTTCGATGAATGGAGAATTGGCATCCTTACCTTATAAGTGCGAAGAAAGGCTGAAGGTTCGCCACGATTTAGAATCCCATTGACGACTGAGAAAAGCTGCTCAACGAGGCTGTCCTGTCGGACGTCTTCGTTCTAAATTGAATATGCATGAATATGCACAGTATGATTGCTGTGACAGGAAATGTCCCCCTTCCACCTACCTTCCAAATGATTTTATAGAGCTTTCCATCGCTTCCCTTCGTCCGTTTCTTTTAGGACTTTTGGAGCCGACAGTCCATCAGCCTTGTGTGCAAACCCGTTCCATAGTTCCCCACATGACAATATCTTGACCCGAGTAATCACCCGCGATGCCCAACTATAAGAAAAAACTGTTGCTGATTGCTGAAGGCCGAGCCGGTGCTGTGTCAGTGCTGAAAGCTGCTGCGAGACGGATTGTTCGATCCGGGCACCCACTCAGCACCTTTCCACAAATGACGTTGGCGACAATAACCGCCTCCAAATTGTCTCCACTGCCTTTAAGTGAGTCTCTCCAAAAAATCAACGTACCTTCTGATCAACGATTGGAAGCGGCACTCGTTTCAGAACATCTGCTTGCGAAATTATTGACAGACCATCCATCATTTCGTATTGAACTGCAGAAATACAATCTCATTCGCTGCGGATGATGGGGCGTGTCAGGGGACATGGTTTGGCATGGCGTCAGTCCGTTCTTCCACTAGTGTTGAAGCAAGGGACGCGGCAATAAGTTAGTGGAAACGACTGCTACGAGCGACATGATACAGTACTTTCTACGACTCATGTATTCATATGGTGCTGCTGTACTCTGCTAAACCGCCGCTTTTCCCGCCATCAAAAGTTCGTTTGCGGAAAATAACTGGAAAGCCATAGAATTTTTTAGAAGGTAGGGGAAAACTTGAAGTGTTGCGAAGATGGTAGGCAGCATAATCAAGGGAGGCGTTGTACCAGAGAGGGAAATTCGGAGGGGTCGCATTTTGCAAAAACTTTCTTTTCAGCGAACAGTAAGTACATTGCATTACTGAGGATCCCATGAGAGAATAAGTAGATGTAGCGATCACAAAATGCTGGATTAGACGATTCCATTTAACCCAAGAGCTAGGAATAACTCACCTTTATTATCCGGTAGCTGACGCTTTTTGAAAAATCGCGGGTCACTGATCTTCACTGCTACAAACTGTATGTAGGCCACATGTGCTGTGGTCATGTCCTCCACAATTTCATGGAATCTGGACCTCGCCATTTTGTCCGCAATACGACGTTCAGCCTCCTCTAGCATCGTCTCTACGATATACGAGTGATTCTAAAGGATTAGGAATGAGTGGAGGGGGGGGGGCGCAAATAAGGGAAAGGCCAGAAATACACGTACCTCATTGAATTTATACATGAGAATAGTGTGCAAAATATGAAATGGATAAGCAATTATAAGCTTCACAATCATCTGAAAATCGACTTGAGTCTATGCTTAACCCGCAGCACAAGATGACCGTAGGGGCGGAGCCAGGTCTGCCCTTGCATATTTCTTGTTGAAAGGTCGCCTCCCTTCCACTACGGTAGAAGAGGGGCGCACCAATAGGGAAGCTCAATATTCCGCCCTACTCCGCCCACACGATCAACGTGGACTGCGCCTTCATGTGAAACAACAATATTCAAGAGAACTTCTATGCAAACCAATTCTGACGAAAGACGAACCGTTCTAATTACAGGCGCCAGGATGCTTTTGGCAAAACAGTGCGACATCAGATGGCTAACCACATGCACCCAAACGGCTGGCACCATGCCATTAGCAATGTATCCCTTGAAATCATTTAAAAATATTAAAAGTCAAAACTGCAGTCCAAAGTTTCATAACCAGAGAACAACTGCAATCTTAAAAGTTCCCTATTAGTAATTTTCGTCGCAGACCCTAGGGCATGTCACAGGCGGTTGTAGAGGCTGGATTTGTTGCAACACCAGCCCGTTCTCCACCGATTGCGCAAGCTGCTACGCGACAAAAACTGGCAGAAAACTATAGAAATAATGATATGAAGACTTGAAAAGGCTAGCTCCGTGCCAAACCCATCTCGCCTGACACGCCCCTTCATCCGTAGCGAACAAGACTGTAGGTGGCCTAAAGCATTCTCCACAGAACATCACTGCTTACCCTGAAAGCTTTCACAACGTCCTTTTCACGATCGAATCGGAATATCACATTGATTAATGGGAAAATGAGCCTCAAAATATCGTCATTCCTTTCTGCCGGTTGACATGGTTGCTTCACATAGGGCTGTGATAGCAATTCTAAAAGAATTTGCATCTTTTGAATTCTAAATATTCAACCCCAGATAAAAAG